CCCTTCCTTCCTTCCTTCCTTTCCCTCAGAAACCAAACTGCTTGTTGTAGTTTTAGAAGGTCAAAGTCTCTCTTATTTTCTTTTTTTTTTTCCTTCTAAATCTATACAAATGTCATCCAAGGAAGATCTATACAATTGCAGATCTCCTCGGAGTATTGAGAGGGGCTTAATCCTCCCCCCAGGGTACGTCCCATACATATGCTGTAATCTACTGATTTCTACAAGCATTCTCCAGGACACGTCTCACTTTCAAAATTTACAATATCTGAAGGCAGCAGCGGCTTCAAGCCCAAAAGGAGAAGAGGAGGGAGGAGACGGCCATAATCACCCAGGTTTGCCCCACCCAGGGTGGCTGTGATCCTTTGGCCAGGCAGCATGTTGCTGTGTACGTGGGTGTTGTGTTGTGGCAATCTCTGGAGAAAGGCATCTCTGCCTCTAGGAGCCAGAGAAGCCACACTTGGCCTTGGGTTGAAGGCAGCAGCGGCTTCAAGCCCAAAAGGTGGCTATGACCTGGTTGCCTGTCTTTCATTGTGAGGCTGAACACTGTGACACTGATGTGTCAAATATGTTAATGGTTGGCTACCCAATGCAGACTGAGAGTGGGGTGGAGCTCCCCAATTAAAACAAGCGTGGAAGGAGGAGTGGCATCCACTTCCATAATAGCTTGCCTCCGGAAACCCTATGAACTTGGAGAGAGGATGAAAGGCACCCAAGCGTCAAGGACTCTCCTTCATAAGGTCGCTATGAGTCACCTATGACTTGACAGCACTTAACAACAACAACAACACGTAATCAATTATATCATACATCTTAACAATATATCTAGGGACATCATAGTCAAAGTTAGAGGGGTCTTGGCCAAAAGCAGAGAGAACGAGAGGACTGTCTATCTGTGTTTCATTGACTATGCAAAAGCATTAGACTGTGTGGATCACAACAAATTGTGACTAACCTTGAGGAGAATGGGAATATCAGAACATTTAATTGTGCTCATGGGAAACCTATACTTGGTCCGGGAAGCAATAGTCAGAACAGAGCAGGGAAACACTGAATGATTCAGGATGAGGAAAGGTGAGCATCAAGGTTGCATCCTATGCGAATACCTTTTCAGTCTATATGCAGAACAGATCATTCAAGAGGCTGGACTTTAAGAGGATGAATGTAACATCAGGATTGGAGGAAGACTTCTCAACAACCTGCATTATGCAGATAACACAGCCTTCTTGCTGAAACTGAGCAAGATGTGAGGCATTTGCTGCAAATAGTCAAGGACTGTAGTCTTCAGTATGGATTGAAGCTCAACATCAACAAAACAAGGATTCTGACCATTGGGCCAATTGGTAGCTTCATGATAGATGAAGAAGAGATTGAGATTGTTAAAAGCTTCAGTTTGCTTAGTTCCACATTTAGCAATCTTGGCAACAGCAGTCAGGAAATCAAAAGACTAATTACATTGGGGAAAGTCTGCTGTTAGGGAACTCTCTAGAGTACAGAAGAGCAAGGATGTCATTCTGGAGACTAAGGTATGCCTGATAGAGGCCATGGTCTGGATATTAGAAGAATTGATGCCTTTGAGTTGTGGTGCTGGAAAAGAGTGTTGAACAAAAATACCATGGACTTCCGGGAGAACAAACAGGTTTGTCCTGGAGAGGGTGAAATGAAGCTGCACCCTGAAGGCAAGAATTTTGAAGCGCATCTCACATACTTTGGGCATATGATCAGGAGGGAGGAGTCCTTGGAGAAGGACATCATGCTTGGAAGGGTGGTGGTGCAGTGTAGGAGAGGAAGGCCCAGGATGAGATAGATTGACCCAGTGACTAGAGAAATGGAATTCGGCCTGTCAGAGACATTGGCTCAGGGTAGGGCAGGATTCAGAGCTATTATACATGAGGTATCTATGAGTCGCAGGTTGACTTTATGGTACTTAATAACAGCATTACATCAGCATAACTCTGTATACAGTATATCTTAACACTACTATGTGAACAAAAACCTCCCAGCAATATTCATGAAGTTAAATCAACAAATACCTTAACACAGTGATTTTTCAACCTTCACCCTCTGGCCATTTTACCCACTCATGGCCTGCCTCAGGCCATAAGCTGCTTTTAAATAACATCAAACGTAGACATTTTAACTGTCCTTTGCAAACATCAAACTTCTTAAAAATTCCACATTTCCTGGAGTCTGGAGCCATTACGTACAACCCACTTCTGACACCAACTGTAAAAAGAGCAAGGGCCACATGGGGTGTTAGTATCTGACCTTTACCAGCTTCAAGGAGGAAACTCTCCCCGCCCACAGCATAAATAACAAAGCCAGTTCCCATGAGGTCAGACGTGTCCCTCACGCTCCCACGCATCGCTATACTCTTTCAACCGCTGCTCTTACTGCTTAGCTAGTAGCTGGGTCCAAAATCCAGTATGATAGCTCACAAACCTCACAGAACCATATTAAGGTAGTTAAATGATTATAATTCAGATTAATAACAAAATACAATCAAGACAGGTTCCAAAATGTGCATGCAGGCACCTCTGTCTCACAGCTCTAGGGATTTCCCAAGTTCTCAGTCCAGCCAATATCTGCTTCTGCTGAAATTGTCCAGCAAAGTTCGATTCTTGCCAATATTGGCTCCCCCGACCCCATCTGGTTCAGTTCAGTGGCTCATCTAGTTCAGCCATCTCTGCTGCTGCCAGCGTGAAGCGTGTCCTGCGTTTCACTGGGTTGAGGGAGGTTTCTCTCTCCTGTGGCTAGACAAAGAATTCCATTTTTCCTTGTGTGTAAAGAATTCCTCTGGTGTTTTGTTGATTGGTGTTGGGGTTGTTGTTTTTTTCCAAGAAAGGGTGCTGGATCAATTTAGATGCTTGTGTGCTCGTTATTTTGTTTTCCTTTTCTTACTGTGATGTTTTATGTTGCCTTTTGTATGTTGAGTCAACCTTATGTCCTCCAGATAAATTCTCCCTGGTTATAGTTTTGCATCTTTTATATACTACTGGAGTTGGTTTGCATTATTATGTTGGTAATTTTTAAATCTGAGTTAGTGAGAGATATTGATTTATAGATTTTTCTTTCTTTCTATATTTGACTAGTATCAACTTCTGCATAATTTAAGAAGTCTTTCTTTTTCTTTTGTGTTGCCTTTATTTGAGAGTTCACAAAGGATATTACCATGTAGTCCTATGTTAAAAATAGTTTAGAATCAAATTGAGGCTATAGATTCTTCTAAAAATATTTTACTGAGAGATCTAATGTATAAATAATATGTTACTAAACCTTTAAATTTTTTACAATGAAAATGCTCTCCCAATGAGAGTTCATGATAAGTTTTCTTTTTCTTGTTAGCTAGGTCTTTGAAAATGTGTCACTTATGAAGAATGATAATAGAAAGAGAAAATGAAAATGTGTTTCATACACCTTCTCTGCACATTAAATTTATCCTTATTTTTCTTTTACTCTTTTGACGCCAGAAATATGCTTTTAGAACTTATTTTTAATCTTTAAAATATGTGGTCTTATCTTCCACAGTTTTGCACAAAGATCCAAGACAGGTGTATCTTTGCCTCCTTGAAATTGGTCGAATTGTATCAAGGTATTTATCACGTGGTATTTCAGAGTTTCAATGCTATATTTTCTAAATGACTTCATTTTAACTTAGAACAATATTTCCTAGAAGTCAAAACAAATATTTGATTAAAATAGAACAATTGTGGATTTTTTTTCCTATTTCTTTAGTAATTTTGTTCTATTTTCATGATTATCACGACCTGTTTTCTCTTACAGCTTATCTTCCTGAATAGTAAACTGTGGAAGTGATTACTTATACTTTTTAGCCTAAGAATTGTGTAAAAACATATAATCTAATATTGCTTTGGCGACAAAATGGCAAGTCTTCAGTACACAAAATGAACCTAATTAGAAGGCAGACTGGGTATCTTCCTTGCCTATTTTAGCACCATCTTTACTTACAAATTGGTTATAATATTTTTTAAGACCACATGTTGAATATTGAAAGCATTCAGTAGCCAAATAAGTACCATGATATAAAGATTATAATCCAGATTTTAGGAATTAAAAAGCCTTTCCAGATGTGCCAGTGAAATAGTGGCCAGAATAGAATCATACAGATTTTCGTCTTTAAAATAAAATATAACCTACCATGATACAGAGAAGTGCATGCGCCAAACTTTGGTTCATGGTCAGATCTGGATCTGTTTCCTTTTCAGATATGGCGTTGAACCACCAGTATTAGTAAAACTTGAGAAAGAAATTGAGCTTGAAGAAACCTTGCTTAATACTTCTGGGCTGGATGAGTCCATCAGCATTCCAAAATCATGCTGCTGCCATGAAGAGCTGCATGAGGCTGTAAGTAAAGGACACCCTTCATTTGCTCCTGATGATGCTGTGTGTCTAACAGAAAGTGTTTTATTCAGAGTACACACCACTGCATATTCTTGGTGATTGACGGTACACTATGTTAAAGTTTGTGTTGCTTGCGCATAATGTTGTTGTTGTTGTGTACCATTGAGTCGGAACCCACCCATAGCTGACCTTCTGGTGGATGATTTTCAGAGGCAGTTAATTGCACAGGAGGAGATTGCCCGTCCTTCTCCGTAGAGCAGCTGGTGTACTCAAACTGTGTGCCTTTAGGATTGCAGTGCAGCTTCTTGCCACAAGGCCACCAGAGCTCCCTTTCATTGTATAAGGAGAAATGGACATAAAGGGATCATTGACTTGTTTTTTAACATGTTATTGTTGTCAGAGAGCTGGACAATGACTAAGGAGGATAGAAGGAGAATTGATGCCTTTGAGCTGTGGTGCTGGAGAAGAGTATTGAGCGTACCATGGACTGCTAGGAAAACAAACGGATTCATCCTGGAAAGGATCAAATCCTGCTGTTTCTTTGAGGCAAGGATTCTGAGGCTCCGTCTAACATACTTTGGACATGTTGTAAGGAGGGACAGGTCCTTGGAGAGGGACATCATGCTTGGTACGGTTGGAGGGACAGTGCAGGAGGGGAAGGCCCTCTATGAGGTGGATTGATTCAGTGACTAGAGCAATTGGGGTGGGTGTATCAGAGATGGTGCAATTGGCACAGGACAGAGCGGAGTTTAGGGCTGTTGTATATAGGGTTGCTATGAGTCGCAAGCGACTCGACGACACATAACAACAACAGCAACATTGTAAGCTGATATACATAGGATAAGGATTATACTCTTGGTCATGCAGTGGCTGTAATAGTTTTATTTTAATAATTCAGGCATGAGATGATGAAAGCCTGACCTCAGTGCTGGTAGTGAGAATGAAGAGAAAGGAACAAATGTAGGATTTTTAAAGGAAGTTTAAAATTAGATTGAAAGTGAAGGAGGAAGAAAATCCTCATGTGAAATTTCCAAGGCTGCTTCTATAAGTGATATTTGGAGATTGCAGGAGGAAGAAGGTTGTGAGGACAAATGGGTGGTGTTTATTTTCAACTTCCCCCAACAGATTATATACAAACATGCTATATGATCAGTGATAACTAGAGATCCTTAAGTTTATTTACCTGTTTGTCACTGTTTAGAAATTCATAGAATTGCAATTGGCTTTGTGTCTTCTGCCCTGACGTCTGAACTTAATAGTAAATATTATTATTTAGCCCCTTAATAATTCCTGGTCTTCTTTTGAGTTGAGATAGTTTACACAAATGCTTAATACATAGAATTCTTTAAGAACTAATTCATTACGATGGTGGCCTAGTGACAAGGAACTGCGTTGCCAGCCCAAAGGCATATAGTCCAAAATCCACCAGCTGCTTCATGAGAGAATGATGGGCCATCAATTTCTGTGTGATTTACTGCTTCTAAAGACCCACTGGAAGGGCAGCTATGAATCTTTATTGACTCAGCGGCAAATAACAGCAAATCTAACATCAGTCAATGTTTAGGACTATTGTTGTGTCTTAGATATAGTAAACCAACTACCAGTTGCTGTTGAGTTACTTTAACTCGTGTTGGAGTAGATCGGTGCTCCACAGAGTTTCACTGGCTGACTTTTTCGGAAGTGAGGGAGCCTTGCTGGTGTGTTCTGCAGGGAGATGCACTGCTAACCATGGTTCACACCCACCTGTGACTCCACACAAGAAAAAAAATGTGCTGTCTCCTCTGTGGAATGGACAGCCTCCAAAAACCCACTGTGGGGTCAGCTTTCAGTCAGTTCCCATTCAGTGGCAATGAACTTGAGAATAGGAAAACATTTCAATAGCCTTCCAAGACAAGAAAACCAAGCTAAAAAGTCTTTATTGTTGTTATGTGTTGGCAAGTCACCTGCAAAAATGTAAGGGAAATATCTATGTTTAATAGGAAATAGAATGATAGTTTCTAGATTGTGTAAAGATTGTCCAGATACGATAAGAAAAATGTTTCTATTAGGTAAATGACCTAATAAGAAGAAAGTACAGTATTGAAATTTGCTGATAATGCAGGAAATCAGATTACTATTTGTTCCATTAGCAACATTTTAAAAACAACTGGTGCTAGTCAATTCTATAATGGGGAATGGCTTTTGCCTACAGAGAGTTCTGGTGGCCTAGTGGCAAGAAGCTGCTGTGCAATTCCAAAGGCACATGGTTTGAATCTATCACCTGTTCCATTGGAAAAGGATGGGCAATCTCCTCTGTGTAATTAACTGCCTCTGAAATCCTGCTATGAGTCAGTTACAACTCAGCAGCACACACCCAGCCACAACAACACTGGCCACAGAAAATTATACAAGCCTTTGGAAACAAATAACAAATCTCAAATTCTCAAAAGAGAAACAGACCAGAATGAATTTATCCATTACTATTTATAATAATGGGACTGGAAACAATGTATATACACTTAAATAGAAAATGGATAAATAGATTAGGATTCATTATTTTAATGACATTATCATGTAACCATTGTAACGACTTTATAGTCACAACTAATAGTGAGTTTTGTGAAAAATAAGCATATTCAAGACAAACTATAGAAATAATTAACAGTAAGATAATGCCTTTGTGGATAATATTAATTCTTTAGCTATTTTATTCATTGTTATAATGTTAATTTTTTTAAAAAAAGAAACAAATATTCCTTATCTGCGACTCGGTGAATTCAACCCCTTGTTTAGGTTGTGAGCTTTGTACTACTGATTATAATGTAGCATTTAGGAATTTTATTTTAAACAAGAAAAGTTAGTGGCTTTCATAACTGCATTCTGGTTGTGGAAATTACAAAGGAAAACCAAATTTCTAAATGTATTTATGTCAGAGGAGTACCTTTAATGTTCACCTATGAATATGTGGTATACCGAGATCTTGAACTTATACTTTATATAAGGAACCAAAACTCATTGCCATCAAGTCGATATTCAATTCCTCTTGGCTCTGTCAGACAGTAGAACTGCTCCTCACGGTTCCCAAGGCTGTAAATCTTCATAAAAACAGACTGCCTCATCTTTCCGCTGGCATGTTCAAACTGCAGACCTTCCCATTAGCAGCCCAGTGCTTAACCATTTTGATAGCCCAGTCTCCTAATAAAGTTTAGCTAGTTGGGGACACTATTAAGGGACAAGTGAGAATGCCTTTTTCTGACTTGCCTCTTTTTAAATTGACATGGATGTATTATTTCAGGGCACGAAGTGATTCAAGTTCAATAATGACCTTTTTGTTTCCTAGAACTTCCTAAGTGTGTTTTGAATGGAGTTCATTGTTTTATGTTTTCCACTTTTTCAGGCCTTCTCCTATAGTCAGCGCATTGAGAGCCATATCACACTTGGGCACGGAGAATTGCTTGGATTTCCATTGCTGCTGGTTTTGTGTAAAATTGACTGACATCTAGTGTCAGTATTTGCCATCAAGTTACAGAGAAGAAATATTAAATAATAGAACTGCTTTTCATTAACTTTAGATAAGATACTTCCTATCACCAGGGTTAAATAAGTGTGTTTGATAAGTTGGAACTAAATCTTTGGCCGCTAACAGCAACACATTTGATTATTTCATTTTCGTCACAGGTTAAACATATTGCTGAAGATCCTCCTTGTAGTTGTTCTCACCGGTTCTCCATTGAGTACTTATCTGAAGGGCGGTACCGACTAGGGGATAAAATACTCTTTATAAGAGTAAGTCTACCCCTTATGGTTCATTTAAGCACAAGTGATGTTTATTTTAAAATGACATGTATTGTTTTAGCAGACTCCTTTTGTTTCCCATTTATTTTTTTATTAAAAAAAATAATTTTTAAAAAAAATGTTAGAAAAAGTGTTACTAATAGAAGAATTTCGATGTACCAAAATTATATGGAATATTTTAAAAAGTATATAGTGAGTTTAAGTAAAAGCTTTAAAGTTTAACATAGCTTGGAGTATTTACATATTGAATGTAATTAAGGTAAACTGTTTGTACACCTCAAGTAACTTAATTTTTCACATTTTCTACAAAGGAATAAGCCCACCACCAATATCAGACATGATCAGGCCACAATATATGGACCCTGATAAAATGGGTAGAAAAATGTGAACTAGTACTGCAGATTTCTAAAAGTAAGCAAAACAAACCTGTTGGACTGATTAAAATTAGAATCTTGCCCTGGGATATTCTTCAGACCTTGAACCAAAATTAGCCCCCCGTAACTAGCAGACAAATTGGTTAAGAAAAAAAAGAATAACACATGTGAACATTGAATGCCTTTTAAAAATTACCTATGTAATGTAAACATTCCTCATCTTTACAAAAGCCAAGATGGAAACATAAAATGGTGGGGAAATGAGATTAATGAAAATGGAACAACCAGAACAGAAAAAATGAGTATATTTACACATTGTACAGAAAGTCACTAAACAACTTGTGTAGAATTTGTTGCATAGAAACTTAAACTGCTGTGTAAAATTTTTACCAAAAAACACATTAAAGTATCTTTTTTAAAAAGGAAAAATAAGCCACCCCAAAGTGATACATACTAATATTACATCTCAATAATAAAAAAGAATATAAAGCATATCCTTCGAAACATATGCTTTGGGCCTGAGTTATAAGGCTGTTTTCTTGATGACATAGAGTCGGTGTGTGCCAGCTGGCATGCTGGTACACGTGACGTGTTCATTTTCCTCATCTGCAGTTGATTTTTAGCCCCTCTTCAGATAAGGAAGTAAGTTTCCCTTGTTTGGGCTCTTGTCTTCTCATATAAGAACTGTTTTTTTCCCCCGATGTATACACTTACTGTAAAATTAGTTTAAAATATCATTTTAGGTGGCGTATTTTTTTACTTGCTATCTTATTCATTCCTCCAACTGACAGAGAAACATCCCTGCATGTGTTTCCTATCTTTTACCTCAGCTTCCTTTTTTTTTTTTTAAGGCAACGTAGTATATCGTTAGGGATAGAATATGAGTCTTGAAGATAAAATTTCAGGGCAGTCAGCTGCACTTTTTGCCTCTGAATGGACATGGTCCTGAAACCCAGCTACCACAGCACCAGTAAAGATGGAAGATATCTGAGTCCATGTACCTGCTGTTTGGGTTAGTGGCAGGCCTGTGAGCCCAGGCCAAGCTAAGGCCTTGGAAAAAATCCTACGAGAACCTAATAGGAGTCACTGAGTTGTGCACTGAGTTGTATACATTGTTAAATTATTGAACGTTCTGCTGTGTATCTTCTCAATAACAAGAAAAAAAAATTTAATTATATAACACATATGGAAGTATTTTATTAAATTATAAAGTCTGAGTTTCACTTGTTTATTTTCTTCCATAATAATTTTTTCTTTATTATGAGGAATTTTTCTCAAAAGTCCTGTCTCCTTCTCTATTTTTTTCTCTTTCCTTCCTTCACTATTCTGTTTTTCATGGGACAGGTTTGTTCTTGCAATTTTGTATATAAATAATTTGGGTTCTTAGGATGCAGGGTATATGTCAAGATCTTCCTTACAAGTTGGAAGACTATATATTAATTGTTAGTTTTGTAATCCAATTTCAATTAAGTTGCTAATACAAGAAGGAGACCGTCAATGGCAGTAAAGCCAATCTGAAATTTATACATTAACAGACATCCCAATCTGTGACTGCTAATGAATTGTGACTAAATATGACAATTTTATAGCTTTACTTTTCACTTTTTCTTTTTGGGCAGATGCTTCATGGAAAACATGTCATGGTCCGTGTTGGTGGAGGCTGGGACACCCTGCAAGGATTTTTGCTTAAGTATGATCCCTGCCGAATACTGCAGTTTGCAACACTAGAACAGAAAATCCTAGCATTTCAGAAAGGTGTTTCCAATGAATGTGTGCCTGATTTGCCTGCCAGAACACCTCAGCCTCCTGAAATGAACCCTATGTCAGCAGTTAACATGTTTCAGAAACAAAATGCGAAGCCTGGCACACCTGGCATCCCAAGGAACAAAGAAAAGCAGATACATCCACCAGGTGTGCTGCCACCAGGAGCCTCGTCACGAAAAGGAGGTCATCCAAGTTCAGTGTCAGTCCGTCCTAAACTGCAGAATTCTCCAGCCGCTTCTTCCCATCCCAAAGCTTCAAAAGGCCTGTCAAAGAAACCACCGACTCCTTCAAACAACCTATCATCTTCACTTGCTTCTTTAACTGCTGGAGGTAAAAGCACTTCTTCACCAGCTTTATCAAGAACTGCGCCTTGTGTATCTCAGTCATTAAAAACATGTATCACATCGCCCAGTACTCCTAAAGGCAGAAAGAACCCAGCCCAGAAGGCCAGAGCTGTGCTGGATTCTGCAGTTTTGCCAAATAAGTGTTCAGGAAAAATGGAAGCACAGCATCTGAAGCACTGTAATACTACTTCTAGGGATGAAGTGGTATCTCGCAGTGCAGCACGTTTAAATCCATCATCAAAGTGTGCCAAACCACCCAAAGCAAATGTACATGTACGGCCCAAAGCTTCTTCTGCGCAAGCCCCTTCCAAAATGACAAAGTCCAGTTCAAAAACCACAGCCACAAGTCCAGCAACAAAGTCTCCGCCACTTAATGGAGCCCCACAAGCCTCTGCAAACCCGGCACGGAAACTGAAATCACCCTTGAATTTAAACCAGCCCCCTTCTATGCCCTCAATTTCTCTGCAATCAAAAGATAAGAAATTGGCTTCAGTTGCCAAAAATCAACCTCAGAATAAAATTCCACACCAGCAGACAGGACCCAGCTCCTCGAGGTCACCTGGTCGTACTCCACTGGCCATTGTGAGCCTTCCCCAGTCTTCTGCCAAAACACAGAGCACAGCAAAGTCAGCAAGCTCTGCCCCAAAGGGCCAGTGTGCAGCTAGAGGACCTCCACAAGGTGTCAAAGCACCAACTGCCACCAGGAAACCACCCTCAACTTGTAAGGAAGCGGTTCGTGGAGATAAAAAACCTACCACAAAGAAGAAGGAAGATGATGACCATTACTTTGTTATGACTGGAAGTAAGAAACCTAGAAAATAAACATGAGTCACTGCAGGGAAACAGGGAGAAGGAAGGGAAATGAGTGTGTGAGCTTCATATCTTAACATTTCTTCTGCTTGGGATTGTCCAAGAGGGGCAGACATTCAGAAGTCCAGCAAGATGGGCGACAGAGGTTAGATATGCAGCTTGGGGCTGGGAAATGGGGTGAGGAGAGGGCACAGTGGAATGCACACAGCTGAGTTCACCAGATGCTTCCCTTTTATTGGGTACGCAGTTATAAAATCACGGTGAGGATCATATTAATAATAGGCTTCTGTATAACTTTTACTCCAAAACATTGCTGTTAATATCTCCATTGAGAGAAATGGAAGAGTCAAGGAACACTACTAGAATTCTAGTTACTGTATGTTGTAGTGTACTGTCAAGTCAGAGCCTGCCCATAGCTGCCTCTCCAGCAGGTTTTGAGAGGCATTAATTGCAGGGGAGGAGATTGCCCATCCTTCTCGCACGGAGCAGCTGGTGGATTTGAACTGCGTGCCTTCAGCATTGCAATGCAGCTTCTCGCCACTAGGCCATGTGCATTAAGTATGGGTTGTAAATCTGTAACAGTGGTGCTCTTAACAGCAGTTACTGCACTGTATTAAGAAAGCAGCGGTTTGGCACTTATCTTTCAAAAGGCTCCTAAACGGGATCTCCTGGCCTGTTTTGCTTGATTAGACAGTACTGAGTACCTATGGCTGCTTGCTGTTCGCTTGGCACTATCCTGGCGTAGGCCTGACTCACTATTTAAATCTTTGCAAAGATTTCCAAATGGTAAAAAAAAAATAATAAAAATGCATTTTTAGCTAGCATTTTATTAACACTGTAATATTCTTATATATGTAATATTCTTATATTTCCACTAAAAATTAATTTATTGAAACATAAGCTGAAATTTGGTTTTTCCTATATTATCTATAAAACTTTTAGACATTTTTATATTTGAGATGGATGTTGTGCAATATGTAAGGAAACTGATTTAGAAGCTTTTAACACATTAGGTATAGTTTTAAAATCATTTCTTGTGAGTTAAATTTGAGGTTTTTTACATTAAGGTTATGTGATTTAACATCAAAATTATATTTAACAGTTTTAGGATTATATGAAAGTATCTTCAAGTGATGCTGTATAACAATCCTATTGTGTATTATTTTTGTATAGCACAATAACAGCATTTTAAACAGCATTCTCCCAATTATGTTCATTTTCTTAGATATAGTCATGCTGCCTTTAATTTTCCAGTGGCACTGTCCTAAGTTACAATAAATGTACAACTATTTCTCTTGGCAGTGTCTCATTACCTGGATTACAAAGACTCCATTGATCTAAAACTGATAGTTGTAAATAATTTCCCTTTTAAAGGATTGTTACTGTTTAAAATATGTACACACACGTACTTTGAGAATTTTTAAGTGTATTTTAATAATATCACAGTATTATTAGTTATCACAGTTTTGGGGTTTGTGTTCCCCTTTTTCCTTTAAGTGGGAATATGTGTTTTTCTGAAGAAAAATGTTTCTATACGTGTACAATCATTAAATATACATCTTAAGCTGACTACTAAAGTTCTAGGGCTTATGACTTTATAGCGTGGTTCTTGTGTGTCTGAGGGAGACAACGAGACTATATACATGCTGATTTTTGGGATGGTTAGTGCTTCTCTTTGGAAAAAGATGCTTACCAAATACTTGGTTTATTTGTATAGATCTGACATTAAGGGGGAAAATATTTACATCTTGGGAAAGTGAAGTAATTGTTTAAGAGATGCTAGACACTTTACTTTTTTAATGATCAGAATTAATCATGTATTAGTCTGTCAGAGAGAAACAGTTTTACCATCAAGTAGTTTATTTTTCGCAAAAACCAAAAAACAGTACTTCTACGCTAGTAACTTATGGAACTTAAGTGAAAAAGTATTTGGTATTGCAGCCATCCAGTAAACCCAGTCAATTTTACCAAATGCATACTAACTTTTGAGAATTATTGGTAATGAAAATATCCCCTCGGCATCTGGCACAAAGTTAGTCTAGAATCAATCAAAACTTATTTTTTGAAAAGTTGAAAGACAATTTTTAAGTAGCTCTGTTCTTCTACAGTAGAGAATTTCTCCAGTGTGATAGCACCTAATAACATTTCATGGTAAATGACTTTTTAGTTACATATTTCTTATCTTTTCAAAATAAAGGGTTTGTTTATATGAAGTCAAAGTCATGGCCATGTAGTCAGAACTTTACTTAGCGCAGACCCTCCGGAAGATTTTCAAAGCTGCAAGTCACTCGTGAGGAAATAGCCCATTCTTGGAATAAGCAGTGCCAAAAGTTAATTCTCAGAATTGTGTTTTTAAATCCCTTTAAACAGCTAGAGTTTATTGCTATTTTTACTTTTTAAAAAGCTTTTACATTGCTAAAATTAGAAGTTTTCATTTGATGATAGTGTGAGACTTTGATCTTTAATACTGAGTAGAACGTTTGTTAAATTTTGTTTTTTTGAAGTAATTGGTAGAAAAACCTAGTTTCAAAAAAAAAGTGAGATAAATTTTTCTTTTTATTTGCTCTGAGATTAATATATCAGGTTAATCTCAGAGGAAAATGAAATGCTGATTGTTGGTTTGTTGGTTTTGTTTGTTTGAGCTAAGAATAAGTATTTAAGGCCTCCACAAAATGCCTTGGTAAAATTAGATGATCTTTAATTATGTTTTCTCTGCATGGAGTTCTGGTGGCCTACTGGTAAGAAACTGTGCTGCAATCCCAAAGGCACATGGTTCAAATCCACCAGCTGCTCCTTGGGAGGCGGTCAATCTCCTCTCCGTGGGATTTACTGCCTCTGAAACCTGATTGGAGGGTCTGAAACCTCACTGGAAGGTCAGCTATGGCTTGGTTCCTACTCAACAGCACCCAACAACAACACTGAGTTTACAACTCTGAATGGAGAAGGAATTTTTTTTTTTTTAGAAAAATGTTTCTTCTGCAGTCTCTTTATCTCTGTGATTTAAATATATTCAATATTTTAAAGGTTTACATAAAAAACTGTTGTGAGCTATTTTATATCGAGCAAGGTTCACCTGCTGAAATCACTTGAATCCAAATTTTTGTGTATTCTTTCCTTGTGTTAGTATTTGTATCGGATTTTCACTTAACTTTTCTCAAGAATTAAAATAAAGATATATCTGTCAATTTTTCAATGTGCCTCTATTATTTATTTTATATCCTGAAGACATTCAGATCACTTTGTTCTTGTTCAAAATCTTTCCCTTGTATATTTGAAGTATTTCTAATTTGATAAGAATTTTTGATTCAATGACTGTTAAGATGCCATTTTTATGCTGAGAGTCCTTTTTATACTTAATATACCCTAAGTTGTTATAAGGCCTTAATAAACAATATTTATTCTCCCGAAAGAAGTTGTTTATTGGTTACAAAAGTAAAGTAGATAACACAATATTGTATTTACACATAACTACTACTTGTAACAACAACTACTTGTAAACATCCCAATTTCTATAAACTTGTTTGAATTTCAACTTTGATACAGACGTTGTTATGTGCCGTCGAGTCGCTTGTGACTCACAGCGACCCTATGTACAACAGCCCTAAACTCTGCTCTGTCCTGTGCCAGTCGCACTGTCTCTGACACTCCCATCCCGATTATCCCAGTCACTGAATCAATCCCCCTCTAGCGACCCTATGTACAACAGCCCTAAACTCTGCTCTGTCCTGTGCCAGTCGCACTGTCTCTGACACTCCCATCCCGATTATCCCAGTCACTGAATCAATCCACCTCGTAGAGGGCCTTCCCCTCCTGCGCTGTCCTTCCCCCCCCCCCCCCCAAGCATGATGTCCGTCTCCAAGGACCGGTCTCTCCTCACATGTCCAAAGTATGTTAGATGGAGCCACAGAATCCTTGCCTCCAAGGAGCCCCCCACCCCCGCCAGTTTAACCTTTTCCAGGATGAATCTGTTTGTCTTCCTAGAAATCCATGGTACTCTCAAGCATCACAGCTCAAAGACATTAATTCTTCTATCCTCCTTGGTCATTGTCCAACTCTCTGATGCATAACAAGTGATTGCAGAGACCATGGCCTGTATCAGATGCACCTTGTCTCTAGAGAGACACCATTGCTCTTCAGTACTTTGGAGAGGTCCCTAACAACAGACTTTCCCATGGCAATGCACCTTTTAATATCCTGGCTACTGGTGCCAAGAGTGTTGACTGTGGAGCCAAGCAATCTAAAGTTGTGAACAATCTCAATCTCTTCACCATCCATCCTGATGCTGCCAATTGGTCCAGTGGTGAGAATCTTTGTCTTCTTGACATTGAGCCTCAATCCATATTGTAGGCTGTAGTCCTTGACCCTCTGCAGCAGGTGCTTCAGGTCCTTCTCACTTTCAGCAAGCAGGGTTGTGTCATCTGCGTAACACAGATTGTTGATAAATCGCCCACCAATTTTGACCCCACATTTCTCCTCATAGAGCCCAGCCTCCGGGATAATCTGTTCTGCATACAGGTTGAAAAGATAGGGAGATAGGATGCAATTTTGAACCATACAGTGTTCCTTTGCTCTTCTGATGACTGCCTCCTGGTCCAAGTATAGGTTTTGCATTAGAAAGATCAAGTGTTCTGGGATTCCCATTCTTCTCAGAGTCAGCCACAGTTTGTTATGATCTACACAAACACCTTTCCATAGTCAATGAAACACAGACATTGACTTTGATACAGACATAATCTTCTTTAAACACTTTTATTTTTTTTCATATGAAAAGCATTTAATTAAATATATGTTTTCAAAGAGAAAACAGAAATTACCACTTAGATAATTTCATAAATTTTTGGGGGATTTGTGAAGGGAAAATTTTTATAAATCTAAATTTGCTTTGTAGAATTTTTGCAAAACAAGATGTTTACTAGTAAACCTGAAAATTACAGATTTGTATTTTACTAAAAAGCTGCTTTACTACAAATAAACTGTTCTTACAGAAATAAGACTCAATTTTGAGGGAATAC